TCTTCTTCTTCTTCTTCTTCTTCTTCTTCTTCTTCTTCTTCTTCTTCCTCAAGCAGTCTTTAATAAAAACTGTATGAGACGCCCCTACTCCTGCACCTTCTCAATTGTTTCTTCCTTGTATTTGCCCTTCTCCTTTCCTACTTGTCGAGACTTGGCTTTCCTTTCCAGGATCTTCTTGTGGTCTTTGTGCAGCTTTAGCCTGATAATCACCACCTTGCTGGGGTGGATGCCCACGTGGACAGTTGTGCCATTAGCCTTTTCTTGCTGCACCCGTTCAATGTAGATGACGTATTTCTTCCTGTACACTTGGACCACTTTGTAGTGTCCCCAGACAACCTGAACTTCATCATCCTTTTGAATAGGCATTGATCGAACATTGTACTTCTGTCTCAGCTCTTTGGAAAGGGGGGAAGACATGATCTTCCTCCGAATGTGAGAAGGTGCACTGAAATGCCATTTGCAGTTCTTGCTCTGGTCAAAAGTCACAAAGGGATTGAACTTCATTTTGGCTACTGCGATCCAGCGATGGCCACAACATTCTTCTTCTTTTTTAATTGATTTTTATTGAGCTCTACATTTTTCTCTGCTCCCCTCCCTGCCTTTCCCCTCCCCCTCAACCCTCTCCCAAGGTCCCCATGCTCCCAATTTTCTCAGGAGATCTTGTCTTTTTCTCCTTCCCATGTAGATTAGATCCATGTATGTCTTTCTTCGGGTCCTCATTGTTCTCTAGGTTCTCTGGGATTGGGATTTGTGGACTGGTTTTCTTTGCTTTATGTTTAAAAACCACTTATGAGTGAGTACATGTGATAATTGTCTTTCTGGGTCTGGGTTACCTCACTCAAAATAATGTTCTCTAGTTCCATCCATTTGCCTGCAAAATTCAAGATGTACTCCTGGGTCTTAGAAGCAAACACCTGGGCACTGCCCATCACTTCTGAGTTGTATGACCTTTGGCACTTTATCTAACATCCTCAAGACTTATTTTTCTTGTCTGTGGAATGGGACTAATGCCTTTCTTCTCAGTATGGTTGGCATCAGGATGCCACAGAAGCAGCTGTCTTTGAGTAAAGGGGGTTACTCAAAATGAGGGGTTAAAATTGCTACATTAACCATTACCTTAATCCTTCCACAGCGTCGACTCCTGTCCTGTGCAGAATCCTCTCAACTGGAGGCTTGTCTTGGAAAGCCCTGCCTCTCAGAGCAAAGGCTGCTTTTGATGTGGATGGTGTCTTCACCAGCAACTAACAGAACGATCACCCTTCAGATAAGGGCGCCCCGCATGGATTTCCATTTTAGATACCCTAAAAGGGAACCTGTTTCCCTGGTTGCCTCTTGCTAGGCACCACCCAAGTGATATTTGTGTTAAATGTGCTGCCTGTTCTCTGAGAGAGAGAAGAGACTACAACACCTAAGCGTGCACACGTGTGTGTGTGTGTGTGTGTGCGCGCACACACACGAGTTTTCACGCCCATGTATGTGGATACATGTGCATGCACACGTGTGTGAAGGTCGGAGCAGAGGCTGCCGACAGGCATCTTCCTTGATCACTTTGCTTTACCAGGACAGAGTCTCACAAAGAGCCTAGAACCCGCTGCTCCATCTCCTCCTGTTGGCCATATAATCCCTGCTTCCTGATCATGATGGGAATGATCATGATGGGATTGCGGGCAGGCCACAATGCTGTCTGGCATTTCTGTGGGGCCTGGGGATCTGAACTCTGAGCCTCATACTTCTGCAGCCAGTCCTTTATCCGCTGAGCCATCTCCCCAGCCCAGCCCTAGCATGTGCATCCAGAGAAACACCAGGTTAGAGCTGTGACCGGTGAGGGGGACACTTTCTCTTTTAAGACTCCTTTGGCTGACTCTTGCCATCCCACAAAATTTTTCCTCTTACATGCTTAACTTAAATTTTTCTTGGAATTAAAAACACTCAAGATTTTTTTTTGTAAAATATTGGTAACTTAAGGCCTGTGGTGATGATTAAGAAGAAATTTGAGTAACATGTGTGTATACCCCCCCAGTTAAACTCAATAATATATATTTAAACATTTCAAGTCAGCCATAGTTAATTACAAGTCCATGTACGACTGCCATGTTGACCCACTGAGCGGCAACCCAAGCACACCTGGCTCAAGGACAAGCCCTACCACAACAAATCTGCGCGGAGACCTGGAGCAAACGGATCGGGCTCAGAGTTCTCTCTCTCAGAAGCCTCCTGGGAAAGAAAACCCATTTCTTTCTGTGAGGAAGACTCTACCAAAGCCTTTTGTCTTACAGGGTTTGATTCCTTAGGAAACAGTGTTTTGTTTTTTATTTATGCAAAGAGCTATGTTAAATTGAACAACTCCTATCCCAGCTCACCCAAAGTACTCCCCAGTGGAGCATGGTGAGACAGAGAGGTCACAGTCACAGCCACACCTGTGGCTGGAATTCAATACTTCATGCAGGCTCTGTTTAAACGTCCATCAGATCCTAGTGTTGTCTGTCTGTCTGTCTGTCTATTTATCTATCCACCCCCTCTTCCTCTCCATGCCAGGGTCTCACCCTGTAGCTGAGGTTGCCCCGGAACTCACCATGTAGCCCAGGCTGGCTTCTTTCCTTCTGCTTCAGGCTCCTGAATGCTGATATTCTGGGTGTGTACCTACACCTAGCTGACTTCTAAACTCTTTTTTCCTTTCCACCTTCCTCAGGCCCCTTTCTTCTTTAAATGAAATCAATTATATGAAATTAAAAACACCCCCCCCAACAAAACTACCAAGCTTGTATTTTCTCAAATAAAACACATCAAAATTCAACAACTAAATGATCTGAGGGGGTGAGTTCTTTCTTTTCCTCCTCTTTCTCATCTTCATTTCTCCCTTTTCCCTTCGGTTTTATAATATATTTATTTTCAAAGGACAAAACACTCAGACTGTTTAATACGGAAGTCCGAAGGGTTGTTGTCGTCAGTGGCGGACCCGCGGTGCTTTCTCCAGACAGGAACCTGGCTTCTCTGAGGCCTCTCCCCAAGAGGAGAAGGCTCTGCAGCTATTGATGCGCATCCCCCTTAACTGTATGCCATCCGCACCTTTTATGGAGAATACGTTTACTTTTCCGTATCTGCATCATGAATTCCAGCTCAAAATTTGCCTCCCATGGCCATAATTTCCATTTGACCCAAGGTGACTAAGCCCAGGTCTTTCATAGAATGGAAGTTTATTGAGAGCTTTTCTGGATCAGTCTTGTCAGAGAGTCTCACTAACTCAGCCTTTGAGTCCCTTGGCTGTCGAAGGGGGCACACACGATATGGTCAGTACAAATGTGCGCCCAGCAGAAATCGAGACTGCCTTCCAAGCTGAGCCAGGCCAGTGTGGGAGCCAACTTGAGGCGGAATGGGAGGGGCTGCGGCAGGCTGTTGACGCGGTTACTTTCTCTGTAAGCATGATGCTTTGACTTCAAAAATACCAGTTTTCCATACCTATGTAATTTGATGAGACAAATTTATCTCAGACTGCACATTCATTCCGATAAACTTCAAATATGTAGTTCTGTTTTTCTTTTTCATACTCTCAGTTACTGGTTAAGCTGTGACCCAGACCTTCCAAGTTAGTTTAGCTGATTGTCACTGCTGGCTGGGTAAGCAGGCTGCCGCTTCCTACCAGGAAGCCGGTGGGCAGCCCATATTTGTAGAACAGGCATTTCGTCTTGAAGGAGACACTTGGGACAGGTCCCAGGTCCCCAGAGTGAGGGAAGCCGGCACCAGAAAACCTAGCTTCACTCTGTAGAAAGAAGGGAGGGGTAAAGGCTTCTTCTCTGGTATAAATTGCTTTAGTGGGAAGGCCGTCTGTGGAGGAGAGACGACAGCTCCTTCCCACATGAAGCCTCCTTCCCCACGCAGCTCCCAAGCGTGTTTGGGCATGGAGAAACACTTATTTGTGCACACCCAGATGTGGGGCTGTGTGGCATTAAACGCGGGAGAGGCAGCGGTGGAGCTGACAGGTACGGCCACAGTGCGGCATGCATAGCTGAGTCCTCTGCTAACACACAGGCTTTCTGGAACAACCAGGCTGTTGGCATTGTTCTCTTTTTTTTTTTTTTTGCCCAAAGCCAAACACTGGCCTTGTCAGGTCACTACAGTCTTATAAGCTTGGTGTGGCCCTCACTGCTGCAGGACTGGGACAAAGAGGCGATGTTACAGTGTGGTTTCTATGGCAACAGAGGAGGCGTAATGAAAACTGAAATGTAGGAAACACCCATTCTGACAACTGTGACATAATTCAGTTTATTACAAGGAAGTAACTATCCAAGAAGCAGAAGTGTCATTACCTGGCAGCTCGTGTTGACGAACAGCTGCACTGTGCATTTATCTCAGTTGGGCTGTAAAGAGGAAAGAAACACCGCACACGCACACGCACACGCACACGCACACACACACACACACACACACTCAGAGTCCTCGCTTTCTGCATGTAAAAATGTGTGTGTTCTTTAGAAGCCAGTGGTTGGCTGGTTTTCCGGACATGATGTGGTTGAAGCTGTCATCGTAATGGAAATTCACTGCCGTAGCTATGGTAAATCGAGTGTTCTGCCTGTGCTGAATGCATTAGTCTAATGAGATGTTTGCAGCGGCGAGCAGGGCTGCTGGAGACTAGCTGTGAGCAGTAGCACACGGGTGGAAGCTAGCGTGTGCAACACTGGGGTGCTTGTGTAGGATGCACACAGGTGGAAGATAACGTGTGCCACACTCGGGAGTGTGTGGAAGAGGCACACAGGTGGAGAATAGCGTGTGCAACACTCAGGAGCGTGTGGAAGAGGCACACAGGTGGAGGATAACGTGTGCCACACTCGGGAGCGTGTGGAAGAGGCACACAGGTGGAAGATAGCGTGTGCAATACTCTGGAGCGTGTGGAAGAGGCACACAGGTGGAAGATAGCGTGTGCAATACTCTGGAGCGTGTGGAAGAGGCACACAGGTGGAGGATAGCGTGTGCCACACTCGGGAGCGTGTGGAAGAGGCACACAGGTGGAAGATAGCGTGTGCAACACACGGGTGCACATACAGGATATTACCTGTCTTCTAAGTCAACATTCCGACCCGATCAACACACTGATCAAGCTGTAGGTAAGGGAGATACGTGCTGGAGGGTGTGCCGTGATATGGGTCCTTTCCTTTGGGCTGTCAGCGCAACAGGTCACCTGCTTTAGTTTATTTGGGAGGGTGTGCATGCCTGCCTCCGTGGCAATGCTTGAGTGTCTAGTGCTAAAACTACTGAGCCCAGCGGGTAAACTTAAGATCCTGAGATGAAAAATACAATGTTTGATTTCTTAACTCTATCTCAAAGGGAGATGTAACATAGAAATAGTTTATATGTTTTAGGTATGGACACACTACTCTTTGTCACTGCATATAAATATGTGCAAAATTTTTTAGTTTTTCAAACATGAACTCAGATAACTGTTTGCATTTTTTTCCTGCCTGATAATAATTTGTCTTTGCTTTGTTTTACTAATTTCAGAGCTGTAGTATGTTTTAGGTTATAAGTATTTACCTCAAATTTCTTCTTAAAATTGGTGTGTTACAAACATACATCAAAGCATTTGTTTCGTTAAATTTTATTTGCTTATTTTGAATGTCTCAGATGGGCTATTTCATGCCTTTGTGTTGGTTGCTAATTTACCAGTCATAGGTGAGGCTAGGTATTAATTGCTAGTTGCTGCTATTAGTATTTTTTTTAAGGAGGGAAATCCCAGGTTAGTTTGGAATGGTTGGAGTTTTCCGAAAACTCAAAGACTAAGTCTCCTCCTTCCCAGGCGTGGCACTGTGTGACCTGAACCGGCTTCCACTTGTCTTCCTGCAGCCTGAAGTGTGGCCTGCAGGTTGCTTGTCAACAGACAGGAGCAGAGGATGGGGGTATGGTGGAGATCAAGCCCTTTTTACTCATCATCCGTGTGTTTGAGTCAGAGGTGGCTTTCTGCATTCATTGTCTTTCTAGGGTCTTGACATTTCTCAAGAGGGACAGACCGTCAGACAGGTCTCTGACAAAGTGGCTTTGTAGCTGGGATACTCGAAAAGTAATCTGGGCCCTTCAGAGCCGATGTGTTTGAGGTGTGTTCTGTTTTTAATTCTGCTCCCAGTTAAGAGACACTTTTTTGAAGAGTGAGAGGCATAGTTACCTTTCCCTCCTCAAGACTTTCTTCTCATAAACAAAACAAAACAAAACGGAATGTCTGGAGCGAAAGCCTGAAAGTGTAGAAATAGCTGTGAAGGAGTTTGATGCGCATGATGCAGACAGAGTTTCGGGGACCCTGTCTGCGTGCTGCTTATAGAAATGCTCAGTCCAGTGAGGCTCGGAGCAGCTGCCACGGCGTGACAAGTACCTCGAAAGCCAGCACTGAGTGACCGACAAACCGCAGCTCAAGCGGGAACATAGACGTCCCCCACACAGAAGTTGCTTGGTGACTTGACAATCTACTTTTCCACTATGGTTGTCAACAATTTTTAAACCGTAATTTTACCCCCGTTGCTCTTAAGATTGCGAATGGGGAGAAAGGAGCCTTCTCCAAGAATCTGTCCATTTTGTAGTATCATAAAAGGAAACAAAGATTCCCACAAATCCCCAAATTTTATCTGTTTACCACATTTAAATTTCTCACCCATAACACCAAAATTACTTTTATTTTATTCTTAAAAGATGTATCTGAGAAGCAATAAGACAGGAAAGCGATGAGGGGCGTGCAGCTTCCTGCGTCTTCGCGCTGTGGTGTTTTCGGCAAGTGAAACCAGCTGCAGTTTCCCTTTCTGGTCCTGGTGGTGGGGGTGAGGGTTGGAGGTCACAGAGGGCTGCTTCTGGGAATAGAGCCAAACCCAAATGCAGCCACTCCCCGACACACACGCACTCCTGCTCTTTGATCTTGACAGCTCAAACAAGCAAGGACTTTTAATATCTTCAACACTGCTTGCTTGGGATAAAAACTCTAACAATACCCGAAAGGACAAAGACAGACGCTTAACTTTTTTGTTTCAATAAGTGTAACTTTTTTTTTTCATTTCTGTTTTTGACTAGATGATGGAAAACTCATGACCAGTTTGCCCTAAACCTTTCATAACGTGGTGGCTTTCATTTGATTTTTTTTAGTCTTAAGGTTCCATCTCAAATGCTTAAGTTTAAGGAAATATAACAAGGATTGTTCCCTGACGAATAACTTCTTTGTTGGAAAGTTGGGCTGTTGGAAACAAATTCGAAGCGTTTCTTGGGTCTGCAATTTTGCAAGACCCAAGGCTTCTCCTCGCACCCCCCCCCCACACCTTGTGACACACACTTTGGAAGAGAATTGGTTGAGAACAGGTGAAGGTCAGAATTCAGAGTTTCCTGGGACCTTTGCTCTCCCTAAGTCAGTACCTCCGAAAGCTTCATCATCCCAGGATCCCTAGGCAGCACTGTGGGCGCCTTGGGATTTAACATTCAGACTTCCTCCTGCTTCATCCCTTCGATTTTGCTTGGGAATGAAGATGCAGACGTACATACCCTTATCCTGTCTAGTCGAGGACTGTCCATGGCTCCCCTGTTTCAGGAGGGATGCTGTGAGAGCAGTCTCCCCGCAGAAGAGACTATCGATGGGCAAATTCAGTATTCCAGAGAGCTTTTCGAAAGGCTTCTTTGGATAGTTTAGGTCTTAATCCTGAAGTCTCCCAAAAGACACTGAGATTTACACATTTCCCCTCCTTTCAAAGTGCTTTTGCTGCTTTCAGAGACAGGTGAGGAGCGATGGGGAATGCAGATGATCCTAGGAGGATGAACACTCAGATGGTTTGGTACAAATATAATGTAACAGAAGCCGCCAGGGTGTCTAGTAAATTACTCTAAATTTTAATTAATGAGACACAAAAGCCATACTACAAGCTTTAAAAATTACCCTTTTATCAATAAGGTGATAATTAACTTTCTCTAGAATTAGCGATTCTCTGAGCTCTGGGCAGTATGCCGCCTGCTAAGTTCTTTGGAAAGCTGCCAATTTTTAACAATTGGTCTTTTGGCAAACCTAGTGGTTTTTAATTCAAATATCTATTGTGGCATTTTCAGTTGTGGCTCAAAGACCATTAAGATCACTCAAATCCTGGCGAAATTTCTGAGACCCACAGGAGTTCAGAATGTTTGGGTTGCATTTGAATTGGTTACTTTCTTTTTCTTCACTTTTGCGTTTCTATCTTTTCCTCCCCAAACTCCAGTGTCTGCAAGAGTGCGGTCTTCTGGCTGCTGGCTGCTGGGAGCTTAAGTGACCCATCTGGTTTGCAGGTGCCTGCACACAGCCACCAGCTCGTTCGTGTTGGGCATATTTTATCTTGGTTTCAGTTCTAGCAAGTGTGTGTGTGTGTGTGTGTGTGTGTGTGTGTGTGTGTGTGTGCTGTCTCCCACCCCCGTGTCTTCCCCTGTATTTCAGCAAGCTTGCACTGGCGGTGGTGGGAATCATCAGATGCAAAGATTTAGATGGAGACTTGAGGGGAAGCTCAGGCTGGAGATTTTTTTGGTTGTGTCTAGGGGTTTGCAATTTAGTTGATTTATCTAAAGTGATGGTTATAGGGCGCAGGAACCTACTGCTCCCCATCTCAGGGGAGGTTCCATCAGGACCGCACACATCATACCTCACACATCACACACACACACACACACACACTCTCACACACACTCACACACACATACATTCATATATACACACATCACACA